TGGAACTCTTGCTCTCCCAGCTTCTTTTCCCCATTATGCAGTCTCCCTGCCATAGTTTGTCTGTCCTCTTCCCTAGACTTGTCTTGGCAATCAGAAAATCAGTTTAGTTTATCATCTTCAAACTTCCATTTTCCGGAATGCATTTTGTAAACTCCAGTGACCCTTCCCATGTCTCTCTAGAAGTCAAAAAGCAACATGTTTTCCTTCTTTCCCATTTGTTGTCAGGAAAATTTGTCAAGAATCATCACTTATGCTGCCAGACATCTGATCAAATGCTTCAGCTAGGGAGCCAGAATTCTCCAACTGTGGCATTGGTACATTTGTTGCATCTGAAATGAAACATAAGAAGGTGGTTAACAGAGACACTGAGAAACTGCAGCAAACTCTCTATAACGAGGAATTCAGTACAAAAAATACCTCTCAGTTCACAGTGGATTTTCAGAGCCTTTCAGGAAGACACCCTGCACTTAAATTCTAAGTGATTAGGACAAAATCGTAACAATCTCCTCTTTCACCTTTGCTTCTTTGGGGTGAGGAAGGGAAAGAAGGGCAGGCAAATACATCAGGCTTATATTGGAGCATGTGAGGGAGAAGTTGCTCAAATGAGTCAAAGGAGAGACACGACAGACAGACTCATACTGGATTACTTCTTATGGACAGTAAAATGCTTCAAGATAACCTGTATCTGGCTGTAGTCAAGGAAAGAAGTCCTAATGGAATGAGTGTGGAGGGAGCAAGACTGGTGAGTTTGCTCTTCTCTTAAAGAAAGGTAAGCAATGTGAGCTGAAGACAGGAAAGCAAATTCACACCAGCATCATGGGAGATCAGGATTCTACCTTCAGTGCCAACCTAGGCACTTGGACACCCGTGTCCAAAATAAAAAAAAGAAACAAACATAGAGATCTTGATAAACTAGGTCTAAGAATTTGGGTAACTCAGGTCTAAATTACAGTGTTAACCATCCTGAAATTTAGTCTCTTGTAGGTTGGTTTCTAATAAGAATTAAAGTTGTGGTAGAAATGTCAGCCTGAAATGTTATTTGGAATTGCATAGGTCTAATGTCCTACAATTCAGAAGCAACACATGAGCTAAACCATAATTTCCCCATAGCTCTATTACTGCTTGGGGCATGACAGCATCCACAGGAAAAAAACAAAACAAAACATAAAATAAAAAGGGTGGAGTTGCCATTTCTATTATAAGAACAAATCCTACAAGTGGGTGCCTTCCTTCTCATTAATAAACTGCATCTACCCACTTTATGAATTAAATAGTGGCACATATATGAACCCAGCCACCAAGCATGCAGACAAAGCCCAAAGTTAAGGAAAACAAAACAAACCATGGCAGTGACATACCTTGTGTTGATTCCCTTATTTCCTGAGCTTCTCTCCTCCCAAACCCACTTGGCTGCTGTCTCTGGAGTTTCTGTCTCTACAAAGAGATCTGGATGCCCAGCACAGTCTCAGACATGTCCTGGTTCTGTATTCAGATCCTGAGTCTGAATGGAGTATCCTTCTCTTCTCCCAACAGAAAATTTATGGGTACCCTTCTTGGTGCTGATTCCAAAGTGCCAAAAGGGAGGCAGGATTTTCTTCCATGTCTGGGAAGTCTATTATCATCCCAGACACCATTATAGCGCATCTTCAAGTTCTTTCTCCTCTCTTGGTACTGACCCAGGGAACACCTGGTACACTGACGGGCAAAGTGCTCTTACACTTGGCTATCAGAGTCCAACAGACACTAACACCACCTCAATGTCCTGGATATTCACACATTCTCAGTGTTACCTATATGCAGGCATGATCGTTTCTTCTGAGAAATGTTCCAAGAACATCTTGATAGATACAGATAAATCTGTATACAGCGAAGACTTCCACAAAAAGTATCACCTCAAGTCAATGGAACAGAAACTGGACCAGACAGAAGCATGTAGATACTATGCCATGACTTGATGTCCATACTGGAGTTAGCCTTGTCCAGAGCAAGAATAATGCACACAGTAGTGTGACCATGTACCACTGCTAGCAGATGCAGGTGTAGTTCAGTACTTTCCCAGGAAGAGGTCCTTACATGGGTCTGCATGCCAAAACTCTCGAGTGTGAAAATGAGGTAAACCAGTATGGAACTGATCAGTACTGATAGGAAATCAGCATGTGACAGCGTGCCATAAGCCTTCTTTTCAAAGGTACAAGATCAACAGCTGGGCACACATGTCCAAGCACCTCCAACATCACAAGGAAAACAGAAATCTGTAAAATCTGCCATCAGAAAGCCAAGCATAAAAGGCAGCTCTATACCATAGGCTCTTTTGTCTATACCCTCATGAACAGGAACTGGTTTGTGGGACTTTAAACTCTGAGCAAAGTGTAAGCATTTTACAAGAAACTGAAACTCTGTCAGAAACCAAAGGGAAGAACGAAACATACCCAGTGGTAAAACTCCCAAAATCTCTTTCCCAACAAAGACACCATGGAAGTTGGAAGCTGACCAAAATGGCAGCCCAGCCTTTGAAAGGTGAGGACATAAGGGCTGATCTGTGACACAGACCTTATGAAAATCCACTGCAACTGCAAACCTCCTTCCTTAGTCCCTGCAGAGCACCCCAAATCCACTGTTACCTGAGAGAAATCAAAACCAAGAGCCAGGGCTCAAAAAATGCCCTTTTCTCCACACTCCTTGCAGAGCTCAAGAAATGCTGCATTTTGACTAATTTGATTCATAAGAATATCCTAAAATGCTGGCTGCTACAAGCCAAATATGAGATTGCTCTTTGCAATCTAAACCCACAAATATATCTCCAGAATTCATTAAAAAGCAAATCATATGTAAATCCAGCACATAATAATTTAAAGAGAATTACATATGAGTGGTTAATAAGTAGATAAACAGTAGAGAAAATCTTCTATTTCCAGCTCAGATCTTCAAGCAGAATTGCACATTATCAACTTCCCTCTCACTTTATTTTTAGAGGTTACAAAACAAATACACACAAGATCAAAGTAATGCAAAGAACCCACTGCTTTTAAATAAATTGAGTAGGAAACTGAAAACTATCTTGTAGCTTTTCATTCTTTGAAGACTGTTTCACAGTAGATAAAAAGCAATAGCTAAGGAGGACCCCATTACAATATATTATATACAGTATATATACATTTATATATTATAAGCAGTTGCTGAGAGTATCATGATGTCTCATCCTCTGTTACTTTAGCATGGAATCAGTAAGTTTGTATGAGTTGTAAGAGTTTTGCATAGTGTATCTAAAAGATTCTTCTGTATTCAAAGGTCTGACAGGTTCTTTGTATGAATTTTAGGTACTATGCATCCATAAAAGCAATTGAAAGATTGGAAGGCAAAATAATAAATATAAACCAGCAATTTTATAAATAAAATCACTGTTAAGGTTTATTCACCTCTGTTACAATACCAAATCAAACCTGCAGTGTGTATATATGGCAGTAGCCAACATCTGAAACTTTAAGAGAAAACAACGCAAAAATCTACTGTTTCATCATAAAAATGCCCATTTGTCTCACATTGTGCATAGAGAAAACATTCTGCTGATAGCTGTAATGCTACTCTTATACTTTGAAGTACAGGACCTAATTACCATGAACTTAATTAAAACTAATTCCTTTTTATCGATTACTTAACTTTCTGATGTTGCTTTAACGCTACTGCCTTAGGGAATGTTTTCAAAGATTCACATCAATGTTATGACTTTTTATATTAATTAAGCTATTCTGATTAATTTGCCCTTTTAAAATTATTCTCAATGCTGTATATCTGCTAAGTGACAAGTGGTAGAGTTTAAACAATTACAGAAGTTCAAATATTTGTGGCTTTGCACTTTTTTCCCTTCTTTCCCCTTCGCCTTTCCCTTTGCCCACTCTCTCCACCCCTCAGGAAGTCCACAGACCACAAAAGAGAAGAGTTTCCAAAAAGTGTAAATTTTCACAACTATCCTAATGTTTAGTGAGCTGTTTTGTTCCCACCGTTCAAGAACAAACACATGTAAGACCAATCTAATAATCCTTTTCAGTTCTCAAAGCCTCTAAATAAAACACAACCTTATGTGAATGATAAACATCTATTAATTTTACTGGATTTACTGGATTACTTGGCCTTCATGAAAAACTAAAGTGTTTAGAGGAGATGTGGACAGGTTTTGCTTAATGTAAGCCTAAACGAAGAACTCAGCAATAAACCACCCCTTGAAATACAAGATCTCCATTAACCATAGCTAGGAGAGCAGTTGTGAGAAAAATTGAAAAATCATCTCACTATCCTAAGACTTTAGAAAAGTCACAACTTGAAATGGATAAGAAGTAATGATTGGGGTTTTTTTGAATTCTAGTTTTTTAGTTTTTCTTTTTCATTTTTCTGGCTGTAAGCTGAATTAATTTGTCAATGCTGGAAAATAATTTTCACATTATCATGCTTTCAGCTAATAGGTGACCAAATAATCAGTTGCTTTTGCAAGCTTTAATACTTATCATGGAACCTAAATCATCCAAATCATAAGGTTCTTTTATAAAAATAACCCTACTCCATTTTGATACCCTGTAGTAGCAAATGCATTATGAAAAAAAAAAATATTTAATATATCATAAAGAAAAACTGAAAAAGTATACCTAGAGTCTTTCATATCTGCAGCACTTCGTTCAAAATGTTTTTAAATTTATTTTTAACTTCACATAAAATTTTCAACACAAATGCACACATAGGGGTGTGATAATATAATATAATATAAAGAATTCTGCTTACTTGAAATTGACTTGACTTGAAGTGCTTACTGCACTTAGACCCCCTTTAAACTCACTACAAGCAGGACTGCACCCTTGCTAAAAACATAGCAAAACCCCCAATAAAATGCCACTAAACATAGCACTAAAAATCTTTAGAAGACTCTATAAATTTTGCTGACATCCCATTCACATAGGAATGACAGAGATACTAAAGGGAAGCCAACTGATGATCAGTCAATACAATCTTACCTGTTTAAGTGCTTTCTTTGTGTGCTGCTGGAAGGAAGATACTAGCTTGCTTTGCACCGGTGCATTAGTAAGGCTTGAATCACGATTGGAAGACATTTCCTCAGATGTCTGCTTTGGGCAAACTTTATAAAAAGAAATAAAAAATCAGAATACTGTTATGGGGGTTATCTTCCCTATTTCTCTAGGAGTCATAAGGATGGAAAAATAAACCAATACAAGGAAATGCCTTAAAATGAAAAAGCTTGCTGTAGAAAATTCAGCTCATCTTGAGGTCCACATCAGCTGAAAATCCAGCCATATTCTAAGTAAATGCACTGCTTCACCAATATTTGTACCTCATCACACCCTTTCTATGCAGTTCAGGAGGCCTTGCATATTTTGCCTTTCAAGTCCTAAAAGGCAACTGAAATAGTTTAACAATAGATTTCACATGGAAGCTAGATAAAAACTATCATCCTCATCAACACATTTTAATGGATTATAAGATATCTAAATGAGCATTTATACAAGAGACAATGATGACCCCTGGGTCTAGAAAGATTCATACATATGTTACTTCATACCAGATTGGAATGTCTTCGTAGGAGCCAGACTCACCTATTTTACAAGTACTTCTTGGTAAAGCTAAGAACAGACTTTGCTGCTTAATGAGGAGACTGGAATATCCTGCAAGATGAATTCTTGTCTGTCAGGTAATACATGTTGCTATACTTGTCAGCTTTCTAAATAATACATACTTTAATAAACAAGTACTACAGCACTTACATTAAACAGCCTCTTGAATAAATATTGTGTGCAACACAGAAAAAGTCTCCTGGTTAAAAATAATTGAAAATATGATTTATTTATTTAAAAGCAGCTTTATTGAACAGATATGAAAGCTGTGAGGATAGCTGAAGGATCCTATTAGTCTTGGTGGTCAGCAAACTCAACTAAAATGGGCTGTAGAAAGCTTTCCACTCTTAATGCCTTGCATTACTATTACTCTCACTAGTAACCTAAGACTGCCCAGCTAAACCAGCGTTAGCACGGATCCAGAAGTAAAGCAGCTTTTCTTCCATTCTCCTCTGCTGACTCAGTTCAAGTCTGCCTTCCAGCAGAGTTGGAAGCTGGTTTGTGTGCTGGCATACCTTCTTTATAAAGTTTTGTGGCAGTAAATGGTTTTCCAAGATTTTCCATACTTTGCACACCACCAGAATAGTCTGAAGACACTCAAAGAAGCTGCACAGACAATAATGTAGCCCAGTGTTCATCTATTTTCTCTGCCCATCCTTCAGTGGGATGAGCAGACACCTGAAGTCCCATGCCTCTAGCAATGTTTCTTAGATTAAACATTGTAATGGTTTTTTATTTGTGTTTGTAAGCAAAAAAGACACAGACAATTTAGCTATTAATAATTAATGGCCATCATAAGATGCACATGATATTAAACTTTTTTTTCACACTGGAAGAAAAAGTGATTAATACTTACCTAATTAAGAGAGAATACACTCTATGTCACTGCTGTTATGCCAAGATAACTGTCATATTAGATTAAAATTTTTCATTACCAGGTAAGAGAAATGCTATTTTGTCACAAGATTTATAACTGACTTTTTTATTTCTTTTTCCCCTTCCGTATAGTTGCAGGATTTGTCAAAATATACTTTTATATTCTAAAAATATTCTTTTTTCTTCAAAAAAGGACTTGCAACACAAAACAGGTTCTGAGTTTACAGAATCACCTGGTTTGGATCAATCTTTTCCACATGATCAGCAAAGCTTACTATCAAATAAGACAACATAAAGGGGCTGCAAAGTGTCAGCAGAAAACAAACAATACCTGGTTTATATAATCCAAATCACTACAACAGCTAAGCTCCTGAGACAAAGAACACCTACACCAAAATAAAAACCTGACATTTCAAATTGCCCAGATTTTGTCTTCCCCTTCAGAGAAACTTTTTTTATTTTACAGTGTTCTGGCAAATTTTGAGAGTCAAAGAATTGAAGAAAAAACCCAGAAACAGCATGTGCACACAAACCCCAAAGGTAACAAGAGGAGAAGAGAACACATTCAAAAATCCCTAAAGAGTGGAAACTTAAACTTAAACTTAAGTGCCCCTCCTAAAACAGGATAGATACAACATAACCTGTCATGATAAACCTATTCCTCTTATCAAGAATGACTGCAACTCCTATTACCTTCTTGTTGAAATGGGAAATTCAGATTTTCTTTATGGTGATCTAGGATATTATTACACCCTTATTTATTTTGATGATAAAGTTCATTCTGAAGAGGTTTGACAACTATCTGATGATACTCAACAATACAGCCATTAACATCAAAGTCATGATACAGCAGGAAAAAAAATAAGCATAGCTCTGTATTAATTTTGTACTTTCATTAATTTCTCTTTTAAAAATAAACCTGGAGTTGTGACAGAATTTATAAGAGGCCATACTTTTTATTTCTATCATTACTTCAATTTTGCATAAAACATTATCAGTGTATTGGTTTATTTTGCTTCTGTTCCTTTGAATCTTTTACAACAAAGTTGATCGAGAAATAGGGACTGTTCCAGTGGGTGAAACAACTTGAACTGAAAGCCACTGAGACAATAAATAGCTTTCTATCACTGTAATTTGTCCTACAGATACAGAAAAAATACCTTACTTAAGGCTGGTTCTTTAGCGCAACCCAAACCTAGTTTATTCAGAGTTTTGAAAAAAACCCTGACTTTTCTTGTAGTTCATGATTAAAGAAATGGATACATGAGGTTGAAATCTGCTGCTTAAAATGACACTGTGATTAGAGAAACTCAACCTAATTTATTTAGAACAAATGATACTTCCTTTCTAAAACTTATTCTGTACACTATATTTTTTCTTCATATACCTTGTAGCTTAAAATAGTAAGATAGTAGGATAATATTTTAAATGTTACTTTTTGTTTTAATTACATTTCCATTTAAAAGCAGCATGATACAAAATATAGCTATGAACCTAACCATCTAGTAAATAAGAGATGTCATTGACTATTTTCCAAAAGCAGAAGATACAAGCACTAAAAATCTAAATACATTGTGATAAATTATACAGTTGCTTAATAACTTATACAGTCTACTCATTTTATTAGCAAAAGATAATAATAAAACTGACATACAGGCTTTATTTAGAGGATAATCAAGATTTTGTTTAAAAACAAAATGAATTGTCTTTTCTGTAGGAAATTAAATACAAATATGAGGCAATGAAAAAACTTAATTTTTAAAACATGTTCTGCTGTTACTAACTCAAATCAATCTGTAACAAAGTGTGACTGTATTAAGATGCTTGTGACCACATAAAATTGTCATGATTTATTTCTTAATTTATATGGATGAAGTCCAACTGCTTTTCTCTGAATGAGTCAGACATAAAAAAGGGAAAAATAAGACAGAAAGATATATAAGTGAAGTCACCACTGATGATCATACTGAGAAAAACAATGCCTTAAGAACAAAATGGGCATTTCTCCTATGGAAACTAAAGATCACAGTAACAGAAAAACTAATTTAAAGTGTTCTTCGTATATATATATACAGCTTTGGAAAGCTGCAACCACTTTTTCCATAATCACTGGAGATCCATGAATATTATCAGATCCATGTTCACTTGAAAATTATATCAGAAAAGAATGCTAAAAATAAACTGGGCACTGGGGAAGGAAAAAAAAAAGTCCTGGGAGAATGTGACAGATAAAGGGAAAATATTTGGGTAGCAAATAAAGAGGATTCACCATTATTGCTACAGTAGAAAAAGGAAACAAGAGTGGTTTTAAGCCTACAGGAGGCATTTCCATTTAGTGGAGAATAATTAGGCTCCATTCTTTAAATCGGCTTCTGCAAGGGCCAGGACCACGTGAAGGAATAAAGAAAAAGCAACTATTAAGCCATAAACTGTTAGGTTATGAGCTGGAAGAACAGCTGGGTTTCTGAAGATAAGACCTCCTCAGTGAGTGTTCAGAGACTGTTAACATGAACCACAGAATTAGAATTACTTAGCAAAAGGAGTATATTAAAAATGTTTTCGGCAAACTCCATTTAAAATAATTTCCTCTCTTCCATTTGTCCAAAACTAGTTTTGTTAATTATTATGAAAGGTTATAATTTATAAAAATCAGCAATGCTGTCTTTGAATTTCAAATTTTACAAGCTATCCCTGTTATTTTTTATTACCTTTTACCTTCCCCATCCATGTAAAACATATTGGATGACATGTTTCTTCAAAGAAACAATTTTTGGAGGAATACGGCAAAAAATTATTCTGTCTCCTTGCCACTGAAAGTTATTAGGAGTAACTGTAAACAGATTTATATAACTAGATGGACAAAGAAATTCCTGTCCAGTAAAGGGCTTATTTTCCCAAAATCAACAGCACAATTAATTTTGATTTCAGTCAGATCATATTGATTTAAAATCAAATTAGTAAATTCAACAGCAGTCCACTTCCCTTTTTTTTTAAAGAAACAGCAATAGATGAGAAAGATTGTTTACTAATGGGCACATTATAAAACATAAATTAATATTGTTACCATATGCTAAAGACTAGAGTCTACCTCAAGCATAAAATGTATGCACACACTCTGGAGATATGAAATTTCAGAGAACTCCATCAGGAAAACATACACACAATATCTCTCTCTAAAATATCCATAAAATTCAATATTTTCTTTGGGTGACACGGATCTATACTTGTATTGACATAAATAGTTGCACTTTGCCAACACAGATGTATTGAGCAATTCACCTCTGTCACTCTTTGATCTCTAGAGCCCAACTTGCCAAAAGTGAATAATTCAGAACTCGGCTGTTACCATCAGCTCTTGAAAATGAAAACCAGTTTGGGAGTTAGTTAATTGTATGAGTTTGCCAAAGCAAGCAAAAACAGATGTATACATCAATGGTACTACAGTGACTGCAATATTCTTTCTAAAAAGCAATACTAGCATTGTGAATTAATAAATAGTATTGAATAGTATTTTTTGGAAAAAGACATCAAATAACACATTAGCTTTGTAGCTTGCACTGAATCCCATTATATTAACAGCCTGTTTTTGAGCCCAAACATTTCACAAAGCTTAGAAAACTGTGAATCCTTATTCCAAAGTAAGTCAACATTTTCCACTAAAAATATACAGCCTGTCATCACTAAGACACCAATTTCTTAGACCTCATTAACTACTGGAAAAAAAAAGTACAGGAAAAAAAAAACAAACAGATGAGAAACATCCTCAAGCGCCACAGTATCTTCTCTTATTCTTATGACTCCCTTCAAGCAATAATGAAACAAAAGAAGTTAAGCTCAATCCCAGGTACCATATTTTTATTTTATAGTTGCAAGAAGATGAAAGAAAAAAACACAAAAAAATCTAAGCAAAGTGAAAAACTACCTCTTGATGATGTGTCACCCAAAACTCTATGTTTGAGCTGCTACTCCATTCATGCTCTCCGGCTTTTAGAGGAATCTATCTCACATCCAGATGTTGCCACGTGTGACAAACATTTCAGCAGAATCATCCAATATTATTCCCAAGAGACAAGATGCTAATAGTAACAGGTTTCACTGAATTGCCAGGAATTCCATTCCTGGAAAGAAACTGAATATCCAAATGTGGACTCAGATTTCAAACAGTGGTGAATATATACTCCTTGCTACAGAGTTATCCTAGGGCTTCCTAGTCTAAAAATCACAAGGTGTTCAAAAACACAGTAGCTACAAAGCAAAATTTCAGGATTCATCATGAATGTGATCCTCTGCTGTCCCTCATTTTGTCCACTATCTCTATGAAAACGGCCTAAGGAATTAACTCTCCTATTAACTCTGCTAACTCAGCTATGAACTCATGTTCATAGATGAGGAACATACACTTCTAGGAAGTGCTGAAAACCAAAGTGTCTCAGGAGACATATGTTGCTTGACTTTGGGCACACATCAGAAGCCCTCTTTGGGCTGAGGTGGGGAGGGAAGTCATGCTATAGCAGGAATTGCTGTCTCCTCCACACTTGCATCATTGTGCATTCCATTGGACTGCACGAAGACAAATTTTAATCAACTGCGCTCTGTGGCTGATGGATTAGCCCTGGCTTCAGAAACCCTAGGGACAAATGCTTTTTGAGAACTGAATATCCTGTTGATGGGCAAAAGGATATTATAGTCATCATTTTCCCAGGCAACAGTAATTGGGATTTTAATTCTTTTACCTACCACATCTTTACATGCTACCCCTGTATTTGAGGAAAATGGAATTTTAAAGATATGGGACTGCTACAGAGCTTCTATTAGAAATCCCATTCCAAACAAAATCAACTGTAGCATAAAGAGTTTCTTTAACATGTGCCTTTGGAGAAGGTGGGGAAAGAAGAATTCTCCACAGCATCTGCAAAATCCTGAGGTGTGACCATTCTACTTGTCCACTTAGTAATACTGATGCGGTGTCACGGCTTTTGCCAAGTCATGTGTTTATAATGGTTAGGAATTTTTATGTTATTATGCTAATAAAATTGTTCAGTAGCCTGCATTTATACTGCAAAAAAATGTGCCTGCTGAGGAATGATGTGATTCTTCTCTGTCAGAGTGTCAGCTGGTACTTTTTATTCCAAAAGACTATGGTGTAAAAGCGCACAAATGGGCTGAGGCTGCTGCTCACAGTTTCATCCTTTTGCCTCCAGCTACATTTAAAGAGGCATTTTTTAAACTCTTGCTAAACAACTTCAGATCACTCTGTCAGAACTGGGGCTTCTGGACTCTATCAGAGTGGAAAAGAGCAAATAAAAATGCAATTAATTGGGCAATTAAGAATTCAGTGTGCAAACAACACCCATCCTCATGTATCGCACATACTCTAAAACACAAGTCAGAGAATTTAATAAAGCGTTTTTTGCACTGAACTAAATGCTACTTTTATGCCACAGAATGGTTTCCTGGAAAGAAAAAAAAACCCCAGCTTTAGTGTGAAAAATGTAATTGGTCTGTTAGACCAAATATTTTCTACAGAAATAACTTTTCTCAAATATTTACAAACCAATCAAGTCACCACCTCACCTTTCATAAACATAATGAGACCAGCCCTATTAAATCTCCTAGAACAAAGGAGGTATTTGTTCACTCAGGACTTCTTATGTATCTTTTCTAAATCCTTTCCTGTTTACCTTAATTCCTTCTTACAGCTATAATGAATGCAATACACTGGTAATCATTTAGCTAGTGCTATACCCAAAGGAAAATCTGTGCCTATATTCTTTAATCAGTACTATCAGAATTATAGTCTAAGAACTGCATTGGACTAATTAGCAAAAGCATCTCATTCATGTTCAATTTATTTTCTGTTGTGATCCTTAAATGCTTTTCAGATATACTGATTTATTGAATACATATTTCTTCTGCATAAATATGACCATTTTTCTTTGCTTGAAAGTCTAAAAGAATTCATGTTGTTCAACTCAAATAACTTACATGGCAATCAAAAGAAGTCTCAAAATTATCATTTATTACCAATACATTTAAGTTAAAAAGATTTCATAGTATTCACAAAGTATTGACAAAAAAAATATTGAATTAAGATGGTCAAATCACACCCTCCAGAGCAAAATGCCTTCTGTGGACAGTGATTCCTATGCCTTTGCAGATTAAATAATTTGTAACTTCAATCCACAAATACAAAAATTGGATGTATTTTTTGGGCATGGTCCTGTTTTTAAGCCAAGTCTTCTATACTGTTAACAAAATCAGAATTCTAAGTGTATATAAATGGTATCTTTAACAACAAACTTGCAGCCTCAAGAAAAGCTATTGTCAAACATGTTTGGGAAAATTATGTTCTGTATTAGGTGATATGCTAATATGCTGTCATGCTATTTATGAAATACATGCTGAATTTAATTCTTAATTGATCACATCCAACACTGGCCTCTCTATATGCTATAGAGACTCACCACTCCCATCCATTCACTTTTTTTTAATATATCCATTGACATCCACCGCAGGAAAAAAAATAAAAAAAATGTCTTTTTGTCAAAATGTTAAATATATTGCAGTTATCCAAGATTTGTTAAAGATGATAAATGACAGAAATTCTCAGCTTTAAAACCAACCTAGGTGTAATTTAATGCTTTATTTCAAAATGTTAAATTTTTGCAGCTTCCCTTTTATGTCATCACAAGTGCTATAATTATTTTTATTACTGTGTAAATAGTATATAGCCTGCTCACAGTCAAAACCCAGCAATTTTCTACTTCTGGAATTACGACATCCTATTTACATTCTTTAACATCCTATTTGCATCCTAACACTCCTAAATAATTGCCCTTGTTTTTTTGCCATTATTTTTATTTGTTTATAACAAGTAACATCAACTTTTTCTTTGTACATTTACATACACAGCATACACTACATATGCGCCAAACCTCTGCACATGCAGAGTCTGTTAACTTAGAGACATATCAAAGAAAATGAAGAAGCAAAGACATTTAATAACTCTGGACTTTTGTTTCCACAGAGCTCCAAAACTTCAGTCCTACACAGACCCACAACATATCTTGGAGTGTTCTGTTACTCCTATCATTGAACATTATGATTTTTCAGTGCTGCTGGAGAGCAATACAGAAATTGCAGCATCAGTCCTGTAAAGGTGCAGCCTGGAAGCTAAGTAAGTTGCTCAAGTTAAAAAAGGAAGTCTGTAGTAGAACAACAACATGAGCTGAGCCTTTTCATGTCCCAGCTGTAAACAGGACATCGTCTCACCATATACCAAATCAAAACAGCAGGCTGCAGTCCAGCAGTGGGACAGGTTGTGATGAGGCAGCAGAAGAGAACTGATCAAGGAAAGGTTTATTTCAGAAGTCCTGGAAAGTCAGTTTTGTTATTTTTTTTTTTTTAAATAAAGCATTTACTTTATAATCATTACATGAATGTAGTTACAGTAATATTCACTCCTGTTACTTGCAAAGTAATTTTAGAAGACTGATGTTCTCTTTATGACTAACTATTAAGTCTCAAGAAGGAAAAAAAAATATTTCTAAGGTTGCCATTTTAGAGTTATTTCTATGTTTCAGTTTGCCATTATCTCAGGGAAAAAAAATGCACAGCATTTGATATTTCAAGATGTCATTATGTCACGATGGCAAACAGGAGCCCCTCTGCCTGAAAGAAAAAAAAATACAAACCTTTGTCCTCTGCCCAGAACTCTACTGAGGGACCAACCCTGCATGTCCACACTGAAATCAATGAGATGTCTGAATCTGACAACTGCCAAGTCTGAAGCCTGGTAAAGACAAATTATTCTTTAGCTCTGGGCCCTAAACAAAAAACTGTAAGCCAAAAAATTACCTACTGGAAACACACCCAAACAGCACTGTTCTTTGTCTTTTAAAACCCTAAGGCAAATAAAGACACTCAGTGTTCCTGATTCCTTCATAAGGCCAAAAAAGAGAGGGAGTCACTCAAAATAGTTCCACTGAGTACAAAATATTTATACAGTTTAGAAATCACACCAAAAAACCTGAAAATCTAAAGAAAACAATACTTTTTCTTTTCCCAAAACATGCCCTCTAATATTGAGATTAAATCACCTACCACCATTTTCTTCTCCATTATTATTGTTTGTCTCAGCCATTTCAGTGCCATCTAACTCAGATTCACATCCTAAATCCAATGTTCCATCAGTAGGGCATGTTGATTCTTCTTTCTACAGATAAAAAATAAAAATAAAAATAAAATTAACAAGAAAAAAAATCAATCATGATCCTGCTGCATCTCCGAAAATAGATTACTGCAGTGTACTCTCATACTTACATTTCAAAAAAAACAAGAATAAAATAAAATATGCTTGTGAGTTACTCAAGAGACAGCCATAAAAAAAACAGACTTTCATGAAAAAACTTGCAAACTAAAAGCAAAAAAGCTGTTTTGTGAGGTCATAACATGCTCTTTTTAAAACCAAGAAAGTCACATGAAATGCAAGATCTTCCACTTTTTCTTCTTTTTTTTTTTAACAAAAACAGACTTGTGTGGCTGTTAAAAATCCTAGTTTTCCAGTTGAGTGTCTACAAAACTGCAGCAAAACACAAATCCTTTAATGTTTCTTTTCTGCCTTTGCCTGTTTCCTGAATTCAAATAGCTGAAGCAACCTGGAGCTCACAAGCATGGGAGTGATTGTGAATTCCTGGAATTGTGCCAAGAATATCTCCCGATTTAAAGAAAAACAACAGCATTTGTTCTAGTAAATTAGGAAAGACAGCTTCTGAAAACTATTAATTCAATTTCAAGTACAGGATTTTTAGTTAGCAGGACCAGACAAATCTATATACTTTTATGTTTTAATACACTTACATCAAATACATCTGTCATAAATTACAAAAGATCCTCCCCCCCAGCCCAAAATTTTAGTTGACTACATTTACACTGCCAAGCAGATAATCTCACTTTCTATTTTCTCATCTCTGCTTCACATTTTTCCATTTCTATTGTGAAAGCCCTCTAAGTTTGATCATGATCAAGAAAAAATTTCCACCCACAGTAAACATCATTCTCATACCAAAACAAAAAAAAAGAAAAAGGAAAATAAATAGAATAAAGGCAAAATTCTATCATTATAATTATATTCCTTCTCAAAAGCAATGATGCAACCTTTGAATTAAAAGATGATTTATATTAGACTTGCAAATAATTTTTCACTATTCAAAAATCAAACATTAGTACAATTACTTAATTAGAAAGTCAGTGATCCCCTTGAGCTCACTACTCATAAAACAAAGGCCTTACTGTGAACAACTCCAAAAAAGCAGCATTTTAACTAAGCTACGTGTTTTTTATACCATGTTCCAAATTCAAGAATACGTACATGCTTTCTAGGATAAAACAGTCTATGTTTACTTTCATTATAAATCCTTTTAAAAGACATCTGAAAGCAGTTAGAAGGACTATCAGGTCATTTCCTTGCCAAAGAATCTAATTTGTTTACCTTTATATCTGTTGAGACATTCATAAAATGGATTAATAGCTGTATGTACAATCCATATACAAAATTTAAACTTACTTTGAGAGCATAGAGTCCTGATTTCCCAGGGATTTTGAAGAATGTTCCATCACCTACACGAGTGTTAGTATGAAGCATTGCATTCAGGCAAGCTAATGGAGAGGTTCCACTGAAAAATAAAATTGTGCAGTCTAAGATTGAGTGCCTCTTGTAAAACTATTCCCTTGGTCTATTTTTTTAAAAAAACTCATGCTTGCCTGGCTTTTTTTTTTGCCCCCCCCCCCTTTTTTTTTTAATTCTCTCAACCCTGAAAACATCTACATTACAATAACAGGCCAGTTTCAAACTTAATCATATGCATCTGTCCCCTAGGCTTGAGGCAAAAAGTCTGTGAATTATAATTATGCTTTTCTTCATACGGCAACCAGCTCCACATTCTGAAAGAACCAAAGTCCAAATATTTATGTGAAATTACTTCATAAATAACACCATGAAGCCTCATTTTTAAAATGTTACAGACAATGTGGCTGCTGCACATGAATGATCAAAACAGTACCAAGTTCAAGGGCAGCTGCATCCCATAGGATGAAAGGCAACAAAAGAATAATAAAGAGCCCAGAAAGAACACATTTAAAATTAAAAGTGATATATAGTAAAGCCTTCTTCTGGCTCAACATGGTCAGCATGCATTATTATACAAAAAATACAAGCACATTTGTGCCGTTTACGAAGCACTATCTTTTCTAATTAGAATTGTTTTAGAGATTATGAGACTGACCTCCTCAAGGCAATAATTTTACACCACTGTGGAATGCATGTTAAAGGACTATTTAAAAAGAAACACAACACATTAAGAAAAAAATGAGTATTTGGACAGGGATATCTTTGTAGCATATACATGTTTACATCAGAAAAAGAGCAAATATTTCTACCCTAGCTAGATGTATACTAATCTGAAAAGGCGATCTAAAAAAAGGTGGGGAAGAAGGCAGTCGTAAGTTGTTTTATTTAATTTTAATTTGAAAACTGAAGTACAAGATCTGTAGATATACTATCACATCTTTGCCCCCATTTGCTGGCTACTGTACACGGTGTACTCAGGGACTGAATCTGAAACTGTGCTTCTTCCCTGGGGTCCCCAGTCTGCACGCACGCTTATCTTTAGCCACGTAAATATATTCCACTTGGTTAAGTGGAACAATGCCTGTGCATTAAATTAAGTGTGTTGCAAAGTATTTCAGGATTAATTATATACTCTACTATAAACCAGGAACAGGGCTTCAAAGTTCATCAGAAACTACTCTTCTTTATTCTGCGGCATTAAAACACAACATCCAATCTTGGCTGAAAATTGCACGTCTGATTTTTTTTTTAAGATGTGAAACTGGATTTAAATTGTTGTACTGCATATGGTTATGCTTTCTGTTGATTTCCAAGGCTCTGTTACAACAAAATTAATCCTTAATGTACAAGTATCATTATTTTAATGTCAAGCTTGATAATGTGGTAATTAAAAATTCTGGTATAAATTAAACCTGGCTTGAAGACACTATAAAGCGTCCTCAGGCCAGGAAGTCCTGTCTATTATAATTTATTTACTACAGGTCACCTAATGTATCATATTACTACATCTAAAATAAAAAAAACTGCAGGTAAAAATGTTCCTTGTTGATAAACACATCAGTTATTCAATAGGTATTTATTTTATGGGTATTCTAAACACTATCACACAATATGAAAATTCTGACAAGTTTTTGTTGTTTCTTTTGCTTCCTTGCAAATAAAACTAGCTCCACATTTGGTTTTCATATAATACTTTAACAAAATACAAACTGAAATATGTTGGAAATAAAATGATACTGCTAGCAGTGGGGCAGAAGACATTAAGAGAGTTCATTGAGTTTAACGATTATTTAAACACTTTTTTAAGATGTAGGATACTTCTCTTTACACATTTTCCTTACTGTATTAATGCTTGACAAGCAAAGACAGAGAGCATTAAATACAGCAGTTATGGCTGTGTAATTTCTTCCATATGTTAACATACATAACGTGAAGCAATTTCAACTCTCTCAGACTTGGATCTTTTTAGTGAAACATTATCACCGATTAAGGCTTTCTCTGCAAGACAGAAAGAACTTGCTGACTCTGCAGCAGAACACAAACTTGGTATGTCAACAAGAAACAAAACTGTGTGTGCAGGTATGCACAATTTGTATTCTTCGCCTATTCTGATGGAAATACTCTGGACTCCACACTTATTTTTAGATATCATTAACCAATTAAAATGATACAGGATGAATGAACCCAAAATAGAGGATTTGGCAACATCTCGTGATCACTACTGTGCTCACAGCAGATATCTTAATCTTCAAAGTCTAGACAACTGGCAAGTGGACAACAGAAACTACTCTCTGACTTAGAAAGAAACCCGTATCGGCTACTGAGCCAAGGAGCACTTTAACTACCGCTATGCTTGTTTCTTACAGATATCTGCAACTCCTAATGGCATGCAGCCTAAGGGCCATATCCACCCCTCTTGAAAAGTGGACTTGGGTATGTCCATAAGGAGCACAAAACAAACCACACAGAACACAATTAAGCTGCAAATGAAAATAATCTAGGAACACTGAGGGATGTGATTTATTTTGCGCTAAGAGATAACTGAAGTTCCATGGTGTCCTTTGTCAGTGCTGCTTTGACCCATGTCAACCAATGGCTTCACTATTCTTCTGTCAGCACTGACATCCTTAAAACACCGTATTAAAAATCCCAAATGTTACACACAACTGACGCTGGAAATGCTTGCAACACATGGAAGTGTGGTTCAAAAAGCCAGCAATCTAAGATCCCCTGATGCAGACTGATGTCTGAATCATAGAGCACTTTCTGAGGGATCTGTACTACTTATTTCATGCTTTCTAAATTCTCCTACAGCCTGAGGACATGTTCCTTCTGCTCAGAGCTCCTGGAATGTATTAATACAGTAGTCAAGGCCTGCCAATATAAGACTGAGTATCTCTGAATATCAAAAATGGCACAGTTTGACCTAAGTTCTTGAAACACTCCAAATCAGTTCAACTTTGATTCAGTTAAATGAAATTGGATACAATAATATTCTACTTTGTAACTTGATATCTGTGAATTTTTAGAGCCATAATATATTTTAAATCAATATGCTGCAAGTTTTATTCCCATAGTCTGCACACAAGAAATATGTTTACCATTTACAGTCTTCAGATGAAGAACTTTCATACTATTTATCATCATTTGGGTGAGACTGCTTTAAACCATTGTGGTAGTCTAGAAGTCATTCATATATGGAAGTTACAATCTGTAGCAATATATCTTTAAGATTGGTAATTTTCTGCTTGTGTGTTTATTTTATATACATATACATCTATACACATATACAAGAAGTATATATACCCCACACACTTTAAAAAACGTTTAAAAGGTGAAAAGTTACTTACTTTCTGTAAAAGTGATGTTATGATGTTACAACAACCAGCAACATAGGAAAGAAAAGAAAACACTCATTAACTTTCCAATATAAAGGCTGCTAATACAACTTGATAATTTATAGGACATCAGGCATTTTATTATTTCATAAATTCTCTTCCCCAAAATCACTAGAAGCTGGTAGTACTCAGTGCATCCCTTCAAAACTCTTGTACATTATCAAATCAAATTTTGCACCCCAAACTCCCCCAGTCAAAAATATCTCCAACATTTTGTGATTCTGGGCTCCCTCTACTGGTCACGCAGCCGGTGTTTCCTAAATCGAAATGCCAGACTTTACACACACCAATCTCTGCTGAAACATGTAGGGGAAGTACAGATTTCAGTTACTTCCTCTGTCACCCTCCACAAAACCCTATAAAAAATTTGTAAAAAAAATCAGTAAAAACGTTACTTATTTTTATCTAGTAAGCTTCTCAAACATGTGGTTCTGTCAGAAAACCCAGAAAACTTCTGTGGTTATACATATAATTCTAATGGTCTTTGCTAGACTGCTCGCCAAGAGACAAAAATTATGATCTTGGCAAAAAAAAAAAAAAAGAGATGTCTTAAATATGGAAAATAAATCAACACTGCCTTGTCCAGGCAATGTAGTGTAGCAGACAGTGAAAGTTCCCTGACACAGCAGGTAGCACGTCAGTCACTCAGTACCACTGTACGTGGAGTAACCCCCTCCTCTTCCTGACATGCCCCCAAATCTAATGATGACTGCCACAAGATGAGCACCTAGGTGTCATAAATTTGTTCAGTATTTATTTGTTTGAAATCATCTGCTCTTTCTATGCACATCCATAAATAGTCATGAGGGAGCAACAAATTTTACTCACTACTAGAAACAAAGTAAGACCAAAAGGCTTAAGAACTAATTTCTAGGCATGATTTGAAGTCACACAGAATACAATATGTTCATAATGCATGTAAGTTACACCAATTTTAGAGTGACGACAGATAAAGAAAATAAAACTTATGAGGGAAGGCTGCAGAAAACCCACAAGTATGGTACAGTAAACAGAAAAGAAGGCATAATTGTAATTTTCTTGAAATATATAAAACATCAGTGGAGATGAGTGTTCTTCATGGCCACTGGAGGAAGAAAAAGAAAGTTCAGGGATAGCCTAAAAGTGTGAATGTAGTTGCTGATGTTTTAATCAACACCAGAACAGAGCAGGGCAGTTTGTAAAATTACCTTCATCAGAAGATAATACACACACCAGTCCCAGCTGATACATAGACTGAAACCTGTCCCAGTGTTTGTATTGAATATTCTCTTGAGCATCCATCCAGCACTGTAACCTGTGATTCTTTATCTCTTCAGTAAATCAAAATTTTGGTTAAGGCTGAGGTTAATCACATGCCGTAAGTATACTAGTTCCAACATATACAGCAGCTAGAAATGCTGTAAAATTGACCTGATGTCTAGATGTGCATTGTTTGCTGAAGTGTTCCACACAGCACTGCATGCCTGGTGTGATGAAGCCCTTTGGCTTCCTCTTAAAAGCTCTCCCACAATCTTCAAGGAGCCATGTTCCTGCAGTCCTGCTGTCAAGTGTCAGCAAAATGTCCCAACCTGCCTCACAAGATTGTGCCTGTGACCTAGCTCAGGAGTGACACAGAAAACCACCAGGACCCTAAGCAGCTATACCAGGA